TTAAAATAAGATGAAATGAACATACATGGACTAATAGAGAGGAGAAGCCATGAGATGTAGGAATACCTAAGAATGAAGCGCAATGAAAAAGATAGTAGACTGAGTCATCGGCAGGAATCAAATTGCACAGACCCCCTAGCCGATATCTTCTGTCGATAGGAATGACCATTTATCATTCAAAAAAATATAAACCAAAAAAAAAAAACGAATATAGCTATTTAAAACAATACTTAAAATATTAAACAGCTAAAGATGCGCACTTTCGAAGTGAATATTGGAGTCTCGAGACAAATAACGCAAAAGGGATAACCTTGAAACAAACAATATGACATTAAGATAAGAAAAATCTACCAATCCAGTAGCTGTATGTGGTAAAAGGGTTCCAAACAAAAATTATTTTGCGCATCTACGTCACATTGCAGCAAAACATTGACAGTCATTGGGGAAAAAAATATAAGAACATACCAGCGTGCTATCCAGCGTAGCAGCAAGGACAAACTTCCCATTAGGCGAGAATTTCACAAATGAAACCGGAGGGCTATCATCATCGATAATAGTCTTTATGCAATGTCCAGTAGCCGAGTCCCAGATCCGGCAGAGCCCATCAAAGCTGCCAGAAACAATAAGAGATCCATCCCGATTAAAGTCGACGGAAGTGACCGGCTCCGAATGAGCTGGAAGAACACGAAGACACTTCCCCGACTTCACGTCCCAGACTCGAACGGTCTCGTCAAATGAGCCGGAAGCGATCATATTGGACTGCGGATTGTAGCAGCAGCAAAATATGTAGTTGGTGTGACCGGTTAGGGTTTTTATTTGAACGCCGGTCTCGACGTCCCATATGCGAACGGTGCGGTCATCGGAGGCCGAGCAAACGTAGCGTGAATCGGACGAGAAGGACACATCGGAGATGCCCTCGTCGTGCCCGACAAGTTCCTCGTGGAGGGAAAAGTATGTAGAGGACCAAACACGGAGGGTTTTGTCGGCCGAGGCGGAGACGATTAGGGCACCGTCGGGAGAGAATTTAACGGATGAGATCGCGCGCTTGTGTCCCCTTAGGGTTTCGCGGAGAATGTAGGGAGGTGCGATGGAGGTGCCGTCGCCATCGCCGGAGCCGGCGGCAACTCCATCGGATGAATGAAGGCCGTTTGGTTTATAGACGGAGGACATCGCCGGGGATGGCTCGGGTTAGTAGAGGCGGAAGATAACCAGGATTTTGGTTATGGACCTCACTCGCGAGCGAAATTGGCAGTGAGACCGTATATGCACGTTCCTTAAATATTGTCCTCCAATTTTACATATAACCTCAAGCAACATTGCCATATAATAGATTAATAGAATTGTATACACCAGAATTACAGCAC